GTGAGTGAGTGAGCGAGTGAGTGAGTGCAGAAGGGATTGAGTGAATGAGTGAGCGAGGGAGGCAGGGAGGGAGGGAGGGAGGGAATGAAGGAGGGAGGGGGTGAGGAAAGGAAGTGAGGGAAGGAGTGGGGGAGGGAGGAAGGGAGAGAGTGAATGAGTTAGTGAGGGAGGGAGGGAGGGAGTGAGGCACATTAGCTCCTGTATAAGAAGCGATGACCCCAACACTATCCTCTGCAGACAGGCAAATACAATTCGTGCAGTAAATAAATTAATTAACGAAACCACGATTTAAATGACAGAAATGCGCCCTTTTTTCCCTCCCGAAGCCACGAATTTCCACATAAAGTCAAAGCTGTGAAACTGTTCGCAAACTGCCTTCCAAATCAACTTTTTTTAAAAACAAAATATATACACAATACATAAAAGAAACTACAGACAGAGAAATGAAGTGCCTTGACTTTTAGGGGGGGGGGGTGGTTTTGTAAAGCTGCCTTCGACCTCAGAGAGTAAAAACACTTTATAAAATCGTGATTAATCGTGACGATTTGGGAGGGAAACGTGTGAGAGCTGTGAGTATGGAAGGCGGTTTAATTGGAATTGCTAATCGCCCTGAATCCGTCAGTTGTGTATACTTCACACTATCTTCTCTCTCACCCCCCCCCCCCCCCCCCCCCCCCCCCCACACACACACACACACAAGACAGGCACAGCCGCGCCGGCAGCGTTATACTGGCTGTTATATATCACAGCAATGCTACAATTAATTGTATTTCGCTTAAGTATTTTACTGTTACACTTTCTGACTGTTACTTTGTGGACTGTGCACATGTATAACGGGGTTCAGATGCCCCTCGCGGGCTGGTGTGAGTGTGAGTGTGAGGCGGCTTTTGGTGTGAATCAAATAAGATAAATGATTGGATTATCTGCACTGTTGCTTCTTCTTAACCATCTCTTTCTTGGATGTCTCGAAACCTCCCGATTAAATAAACCATTTTAAATGAGAGAGAGAGAGAGAGAGAGAGAGAGAGAAAACAAGCTGTTTGCGGTAATATCAATAATATCAAACTATAATAATACCAAAGTAAATCTTATTCTAGACAGAATCAATGGGTGTGAATGTCGCGAACTGCTTGTTATTGTGGAGGTTTCACAGCCGCCCACAAAACACAGTCGATTCACTTTACAGTATATTATGTGAAGCGCTTGGAGACGTCTCGACGACGGGATAAGGCGCTATATCAATCAAATGCGATTATTATTATTATCATTACCATTATTATTATCTCACACGGATTTCCCCGACGCCTGCTCTCGGCAACTGGTTAGTATTTTGCTTTTGTTTAATTGAAAAAGAAAGGAATATCTTTACCAAAAACTGACCCTGTGAAGCTCTGAATGAGCGCTTTCACACTTCACAGAGCGACATTCAATTAAAAAAAAGTGCAGCCAAACCCGCCAGAGACCCTCTGAGCGCTATATCTCTCTTCCCTCCCTCTCCCTCGACCTCACACTTTGTGATAAAAAATGTAGGTAACATCAGTACCTTTCAATAAAGACGCCTCGGCAATAGACACTGTCCTCTGAGTGGGGTGATGATAACGCGAGTGTAAGAGTCTCAGACAACACAGCGCAGTAAAGTCATCAAACCGGTATCTCTGCTTGCTCGTGTTTTTTTTATTTATTTAAACACTTTTAACAAGTGAATAAAAAAAAAGGCTGTCTCGGGAGTTTGAAGACAATGAAGTCGGGGCTTAGATGGCGGCGATGTGGTGTTTTTATTGTTGCAGGTAATGTGGTCCTGCTGGCGCCAGTCGCTATCTCAGCCTGAGTTACAGACTGTAAGACAAAGACATCACACCTTACTCGATAGAGAAACCAGATGACTATCTGTTATCTTTTGCTCATTCACATACACACACACACACACACACACACAGACGAGCGAGTGCCGAGACTCCTTCACACATGCATACCTTCTGCCTGCATCACATACCATCAACTAACTAACTTACTTACTTACTTAACAACTAACAACTCCCACAAAACAGCTCACGACAAACAGCCTAACCTGCCCCGGTCTCCTCCACCGCCAACACTCTCCTCTCTCCCCCTGCTCAAGCAGTTCCCTAAAAAAAATACCCATTGCATTTTGTTGCGTGTTTTCTTTTGAAGTTTGAAAAATCGAGCGGGACATTTATTAATATTTATTGAAAGAAAAACCTCGATTGAGCCTCGCGCTCGCACACACACAGACACACGCACAGAGATGTATAAAACAATTCCTCCTATTCGTTTCACGGTCATTTGGTGGGGGCTTTTCAAACAGATAACCTTTTTTTTTGCCCTGTGCTGTAACCTCTCACACCCTCCCCTCCCTTTGCACACAACTCAATAGCAGGTGAGAGCGTCTGAGCCACACACACACACCCACACTGGCAAAGGTAAGGGATAGCATGTGTCTGGCCAGGTTATCGATGTATGTGTGTGTTGTGGTAGGTACATGTGTAGAGACGCTGTGTGTGTGTGTGTGTGTGTGTGTATGGAGTAAGAGACAGGCGGGTGGGTGGGTGGGTGCTGACTGACACTGTGACCCACAGTACAAAGCCTGTTAAGCCGCCTCTACTGTCCGCTTAAGCCCGGCCACTACACACACACACACATGTACACTAACCAAATCATTGAATCCCCCCCCCCTCCCCACACCCCTCCCCTCCTAAACGCGACGGGTATGGCAGTGAGCAGAGGCCAGGCAGATAGTGAGAGTGAGTGAGTGAGTGAGAGAGAGAGCACGGGTGACCTTTGATTTCCCTGTGAATATGCGGGGCTGGTGAGGAGGGGAGAGGAGGGGGGGGTGGGGGGGCGCTGTGTAAAGTTTCCTGGCTAAATGCAAAGTGACAGGAGACGGTGGTTATTGTCGGCCGTCAGAAGCCTGGCGCCAAACGCTCTCAACAAGGCCGTGTTCCACTTAATCACAGGAGATGTGTTCTTGCGGAGGCTGGAGGTTGTTTCCCAGCCGGACAAGGCTCCAGCCACCGCCAAGTCGCCTCGTCCCTTCCCCGCTTCTCCCCCCCCCCACCCCCCCCACACCTCCCCCCACCCACACACAACCCCCCCCCCCCCACACACACACACACATTTAAACCCTCAGCTTGAACCCAGCACCTTTCATAGCGGGGAAGCCACCAAAAAAAAAGCATTTCATACGTATGTATAAAAAAATATATATTTGAAATCGCAACTGTTATGGTTTTCTTTCTTCATCTCAGCCTCCCCCCGCCCAAACAGTTTAAAGTTACAATTTATGGCTGTATATATATATGTGTGTGTGTGTATATATATATATATATATACACACAGTATATAGAGACAGACACGAACGTCAGTTTCCCACCCCTCGACTGAAGCCAAGCTTTCCCACACTCTCACAGCGGCCGAGACTCCCAGGAAATCACTGGGATTAAAATTAAAAACGGGCAAAATCCGTGCCTGCTTCCAGCTCATTCAGTCTCCAGCTCGCACACCTACACACTCACTCACTCACTCACTCACACACACACACATTCACACTCATACACTCACTCAAACAGACACACACACGCACACACACACACACACAGACTCACACACTCACTGACATTCACACACTCATTCAAACAGACACTCACTCACACACTCAAACACACACACACACACACAGCCTCACACATACACACAGCCTCACACACACACACACAGCCTCACACACACACGCCACACACACAGTCACACACACACAGCCACATACATACACACACAGTCTCACACACACAGACAGACACACACAGTCACACACACACACACAGCACTGAGAGTTCGAGGGGGAGAATCAGCGAAAAAACTGCCAAAGGGACGAGTCGCAGTTTACACTTCTCGGCGGCCCTTTTATTTTCCTAATAACTTACTTAAAATCCTAATTACGCCATCTGCCGGGACCTCCCGCCAACAAACAATTCGCAGCTTTTTTAAAAAATATATATATTTTTTAAAAAACCAAAAGCTTAAAAGAAGCAGCTGAGAAAAATGAGGAAAACGAAACGCAAATATCTGATTTTTTTAAAAAAACATTAATGATAATAAAAATAATAATAATAATAATAATTAAAGACGAAGGTTTTAAATGCCTCAGCTTTGCGGTGACCGACACTGGGGAGAATCCCTGACCGATAAGACACTTCAGTCAAACATACCGTCAAACAGTCTGTTCCTTTCAATGTTTTATAATAAATTCTCTCAACCGTGGTGCCTTTGCACGATATGTGTTGGGACTGTCGTGACTCTCAGCTCTCCCTGTTCCTCGCAAAACACCTTCATCAGATGCAATAATAATAATAATAATAATAACAATAATAATCCTTGCATCTGTCACCTTTCTTTTGAGTCAATAAGTGAATGTGTAAACATATCCATCCTTACAGCCGCCGACCCTGTAAGATCGTGTGCTGTTTTAAATATTGTATCACACACCGACACCGACTGCCGTGCGCAATTGGCTGCCGAGTTTCTCCCGGAAAATACACGGTCACTCCCCGTTGACGGTGTATCGGGCGAAGCGCTTTGAGGCGTCTCGAAGACGCGATGAGGCGCCTGCAATATCGGATGCAAGGATTACCATTTGGAATAAACAAGACCCCGCGCTCGGAGCAGGCTCACCCGCGCACTGTGAGAAGCCCTCCCGATCCTCTGTGAGCATAAGGACTTCCTTATGATCGCTGACTATTGCCGCTGTTTACCTGTGGGTCGTGTTGGGGGGCTGCAGCCTGGAGAGGTTAGTGGGTCTGGGTGTTTGCGGTGCGCGCCCGTCGTGGAGCCGCTGTGCTCTGGCCCTGAGTGTGGGAGCGGGGAGGCTGGGGGGGGGAGGGGGATGGGGGGGGTGGTGGGGGTGGGGGGAAGAGAGAGAGAGAGAGAGAGGGGGGTGGGGGTGTGGGGGGAGAGAGAGAGAAAGAGAGAGAGAGAGGGAGGGAGAGGGGGGGGTTCGCTAGCTCTCTCTCTCTCATTGGTTAATGTTTAACTCTGTTGACATGTTTTCAGAGCGCGATCTGGTGATGCTTATTGTACGTTGGAGCTTCTGACACCTATTTTTCCCCTCTTAACTCATCCATCCTGGCTCTAGTTGTGAAAACCACGCCTATACGGGCACACAATTGGTCCGAAAGCGTAAAATCGCCAATCAACTGTGCGGCTCATTAGCAGCAGAGAGCCGAGGGGGGAAGCATTGTAGCCAGGATCCGTGTGAGAGAGAGAGAGAGAGACAGACACACACACACACACACACGCAACCACGGGGGGACACGCAGAGAGAGATCTGAGCCGCTCCGTGAGGATATGCTGTGAGAGGAGACTCGCCTAAAAGGAGCTGTTTCACTCAGATCTTCCCTCCTTCCCTCCCCTCCCTCTCTGGGTGTCGGATGCCCTGATGAGAGTTCCAGCCTTGGCGGCGACCACTATGGCTTACCACCCGTTCCACGCTCACCGAGCCGCCGACTTCCCCATGAGCGCTTTCCTGGCGGCTCAGCCATCCTTCTTCCCGGCTCTGACGTTGCCCCCGAGCGGGGCGCCTGCCCTCTCGCTGCCCGGAGCCCTGGGGAAGCCGCTGTCGGAAGCCACCCTGGCCGAGGCCGCCCTCCACGTCCAGGCGCTGGGGCAACAAGCCGCTCACCTGCGGCCGCTCAAGAGCCTGGAGACCGAGGACGAGGTGGAGGACGATCCCAAAGTGATCCTGGAGGCGAAGGATCTGTGGGACCAGTTCCATAAACTCGGTACCGAGATGGTCATCACCAAGTCCGGCAGGTACGGGGTTTGGGGGTTTGGGGACCGGGGACGCACAGCACCAGCACAGCACAGGGTGGCGGTGGCGGAGGCGGACGTTTTCGTTCAGGACGACAGGAAAAAAAGGAACACAGACACCACAAAGCCAAACCTTTACGGGGTTTTTGTTGGGGTTATTTTCGCGTAACTTTATTGGGGTTGTTGTTTCTGTGCCCCCTTTTGTTTTGGGGGGGTGGGGTAAAAAAAAATGGAATTGAATGGAAACCCTGCGATCACGGACGGGCCAACACCCCCCCCCCCACACACACACACACACCTCTCTCTCTCTCTCTCCCCTTCTCTCTCACTCTCTCTCTCACTCCCCGATTCTCCCCCAAATACCCACCAAGCCAAGTGACAGCGAGCCAAGCCCGGGACAGGACTGGACTGGACAGTACAGCGGGGTTAGGTCGGGTGGGTGAGGGCACTGTAGTGAGCGCTGGGGAGCGCTAAATGACGGCGGGGGTATGGGATTAGACTTCCACCCCCCCCCCCCCACACACCCCTTATACCCCCCAACACCCCGGCGGACTCCATGTGAGATTCGACTTGTAATAAGTTGCTTCTCTGTGATCGCACCCGTTCGAAGGCGTCTTTACGGTGGCGGTATAAAATCCCAGTGAGGGGTTGGGTGGGGGGGTGGGTGTGAGGGGGGGGCATTAAGTCGCCGTCAATTTTTTAAAAAAAAGTTGGACGTATCTTTTCAATCGGTGTAGCGTGTGGCGGCCCGCGGGCAGTTGGCGGCCCGCGAGCGGGCGGGTGGTGGGGGGGGGGGGGAGTGCGGGGAGTCTGGCGTGGGGCCATTGCCCACACATCACATACATTCACGGAAACGGTTAAAAACGTTTAAACTTCTGTGCAGACTTGACTTGTGTCCCGCAAGCGACCATCAGGGCGAGTGTGGGGTGTATTTCTGCATTGTTTGTTAATAATCCCAAATAATAATGATAATAAATAATAATAATAATAATAATAATAATACTCCCGCCGCCGCTCGGCGAAGCAAACTGACTGCCTTTCGCTTCCTGAATCCGATTTTTTTCCCCCTCCCCAAAAAAATATAACGGAGAATGTTTTTTTTATTGAAAAGCCAACGTTTTATTTTTTTTAACAGTCAAGTAAAATGGAGCCTTTTCAATTTTATTCTGAATAAAACCAACCCCCCAAAAAATGTTTCGTTCGTCTCTCTCTCTCTCTCTCTCTCTGTGTGTGTGTCTGTCTCTCTGTGTCTCTCTCAAACCTATTAACGACAGAGTGGCTTTAGTGCAGTGTGTATCCCTTTGCTCTCTCTCTCTCTTATCTCTGTGCTACCCACTAACGGGGCAAAAAGGCAAAGCACATTGTACTAAAAGGCAGGAGTTTTAACGAAGTACTGTCATGTTGTTATAGCTTCTTTGCCCCTGTGTTTAACACTGATCTCTCTCCCCCCCTTCTCTCTCTCCCTCTCTCTCTCTTCTGTCTGTGTCTGTGTGCTTCTCTCTCTCTCTCCTTCTCTCTCTCTCTCTTTCTCTTTAGGAGGATGTTTCCGCCGTTTAAAGTGCGTGTGAACGGCTTGGATAAGAAGGCCAAGTACATCCTGCTGATGGATATAGTGGCGGCGGATGATTGTCGGTATAAATTCCACAACTCCCGTTGGATGGTGGCAGGCAAGGCCGACCCCGAGATGCCCAAACGCATGTACATCCATCCCGACAGCCCGGCCACCGGCGAGCAGTGGATGGCCAAAGCTGTCACCTTTCACAAGCTCAAGCTCACCAACAACATCTCCGACAAACACGGATTCGTAAGTGTTTGTGATTTATTTATATGTTTGTTTCTCCCCTCTCGCCCTTTCTCGACCATAAATAAATCATTGTGAAAGCCCCTTTAAACCGTTTGGCCCAAAGGTTTTGAAGGAGAGAGAAATCTTTGAACAGTAACAGCACGGCTGATAATAATAATAATAATAATAATAGTCTTTGCAATTGATGTAGTGCCTTATCACGTCTTCGAGACGTCTCGAAGCGCTTCACATGATATTCTGTCAAGTGAGTGGACTGTATATTTTGTGGGCGAAACGCCCAACAAAATAACAACACAACAATAATAATACGACGATAATAATAATAATAATAATGAATAATAGCACTGCTTGTTACACGGTCAGCTCGCGAGCTGTGTGAGATGGGAGTCTGGCTGTTTCAGGAACTCTTTCTTAATAGGCAACGATGATGGGCCCATTTTTTTTTGTGTGTAGCGACCTCGACACATACCGTCTCTGGCCTCGTGTGGGCTTGCTTATAAAATTATGAAAGTGACCTGAATAAATCGGGTCTCTGTTGGGGGAGGGAATCGAAGCTGCTTCAGACGCAGAAAAGGAGCTTCCAACAACACAGGGCACACAGAAGGCCCACAACTAGCGACCATAGAGCGAGGCGGCCCTGTTTAATTATCCTGTACCATACAGGAATCAATACAATTCCATTAAGGGAATATGTTGCAGATTCTGTTAGTCCTAAATCTCTCCAAACACGACAATATCCTTTTACTTTTAGAGCAAATCGTTTTAGGATTAAACAGGGACAGCCACGCAAATCTTAAATCCTACCAAATGTTCATCTAACTCCTCTGGTCTGTGGGGATTTATTTGCAGTCATTCTGGCCCGGGGGGTGAGTGAGAGCGGGACGTTTTATACGCCGGGTTTTCGATCGTTTGAAACAAATAAGGCAAATAGTTCTCTGGTCTGTCATCTGTGTCAAACGGCTCTTGTTTCCTGATCGAAAACGACGCACACACACACACACACACACACACACTGCTGGGGACGATCACAGTACTCTGTTTGCTGCTCTGTGGATGGGGGTTTAAGGCTAAACATTTCTCTCTCTCTCTCTCTCTCTCTGTGTCTCTCTCTGCCTGTCTTTTTGGTTTGGAAATAAAAACAGCTGCCGTTTACATCTCTCTCTCTGCTGCTACGGTGACTGGGGGTTGGGGTGGAGTGGAGTGTGTATATGGGAAAGCAGGTCAGGCTTTGTGGCGTTAAAGGGAGAGAGAGCAGAGTAGGGACTGGGGAGGGGAAACGGGAGGAGAGAGAGGGAGGAGAAGGAGGGAGAGAGAAAGGAGGCAGTGGAAACAAATCCCCAGAGAGAGAGAGAAAGAGAGAGAGAGAGAGAGAAATATAGAGAGTCGGTGAAGGAGAGAGAAACGATAAAGGAAAACCCGCGCGAGGAAAGGGGGAAAGATAAGTGACCGTAAAGGAGAGAGAGAAAGAGGCTTTGAATTGATGATTTCTCCTCCAGCGAGTGGAGTGGCGTCTGAAGAAATCACTTCACTGATGTTTTGGAGGTGGACAGGGCCAACGGGAAACAATCTGTGACGATTTATTTGTCCGGATAAGCGTTTTTTTAAAAAAAACTGCGTGTGTGTGTGTGTGTGTGTGAGAGAGAGAGAGAGAGAGATTGTAGGTTATATATATGAGGCGCTGAAGGAAACGCAGCCATTATACTATAGATCCGGACAGACCGCCCCGAAAAGGCACACACAGCTCTCAGCAATAATATCGAGACGGTTGTCAGTTTTTTTTAAATTAAAGTCTTTGTCCTTAAACCTCACCACCAAATAACATCCCCCCCACCACCCCACTTTCCCCCCTTCTCCAACCTTAAACATTCCAGCCCACTATTCTGCATGATTATTTGGGTAAAAGTAAATGAAAAATGCGTGGTTAAAATATTAATACTGAACACAGAGAGAGAGAGAGAGGCATATGTAGAGTAATTCCAGGCTGAGATTTGTGCGGGGTCTTAACTGTACCGATAATAATAATGATAATAATAATAATAACAATAATAGTAAATAATCCTTGCATTGGATATAGCGCCTAATCGCGCCTCCGAGACGCCTCGAAGTGCTTAAACTGAATAGACTGTAAAGTGAATTGACTGCGTATTTTGTGGCCGAAACTATTCTTGTAAAGTCCAGCGCTATGGAGCAGAGGCTGAGGTGTGTACGCGTTATTAAACAGTGTCCTGTGTCTTGAGCCAGACTGAGAAGGAGCTCACTCACTGGGAGAGGAACCGATGTAACATTTTATAATTTAAACCCAAAGGCAGGTTTAGGTGATAATGTCACACACAGCTCACATTTCCCAATGTTTCTCTCTCAGCATCTGGGTCAAAATGCGCAGTTTCGCCTGACTTCGCATCCCATCCCTTTCGCTGGGAGTACATATTTTGTTTGCTGTCCAAAACAAGGTTTTTTTTTAAAAAAAGAAATGTTATGAGAGATTTTGTTTTCATTCAAAAACCCCGAGTGGGTGTTTTTGGGTGGGGGAGAGAGGAACTAAACAGGAGATTAAACACAGCAAAGAGACAGGTCATATCCCAGACCTGAGGAGCCGGTAGCTCTTGGGAAAATCCCAATCCATTTCACCTATAGTACACAGCTGGTTTCAACACCTCAACTTATTTGGTGCAATTCAAGTCTCGCTGAACCAGGCTGTGTGCATTATGAATGACCCATAATAATCGATTCTCCCACAAAATATACAGCCAATTTACTTCACAGTGTATATTCTGTGAAGCGCTTTGAGATGTCTTGAAGACGTGATAAGGCGCTATATCAAATGCAAGGATTATTATTATAATCCAGTATGTAAAACGATATACTACATATAATATCCTTGTTATATACATATATATAAATGATTAGTATTATTATATAAAATGCTGAAGAATTATTTTATATTCCATGTATGTAAAAGGCTCGTTTTGGTAATGATAACATTTGCACCGATGTTCTCACAAATAAGTGTCAAATGAGTATTTCCCTGAAACGGAATGAAAGTCACCTTCGCCATTTCCCTCTGGCTATACTGTACTGTACAGTACGGCGTGTATAACGCTTGGCTTTTTTTTGTGAGTTTAGTTTTTAACCCAAAATAAATCCCGAGCAGATGTCGGCTGATCACAGACAGACAGACAGAGCCTGAGATTGAGTCTGAGAGAAATAACCCGCGGTGTGTTAGTGGCGAGAGGGCTCTCTCTCTCTCTCTCCCTCTCTCTCAGCTAACTCGTGTTTGTATTTCCCCTGCTTTGCTGCCTAGCAGACTATCCTGAACTCCATGCACAAATACCAGCCCAGGTTTCATATCGTTCGAGCCAACGACATCCTCAAGTTGCCCTACAGCACCTTCCGCACCTATGTGTTCCCGGAGACGGAGTTTATCGCGGTCACTGCTTACCAGAACGATAAGGTGAGTGAGTGAGGGAGTGAGTGTTGGCTCTATGTGTGTGTGTGTGTGTGTGTGTATATATATATATATGTGTGTGTGTGTGAGGGGAGGATCGATTTCCCCCACGGCACACAGTCAACAAGTAATTATTCCCCTCCCTCTTATCGTTTTGAGTTTGGTTATTTTCGTTTAGGAAATACAGTGTAAGCTGTTAGTTTGCGTCGGTCTGATTGAAGCAAAAGTATAATGTGTTTTTGGGGAGGGAGGGAGAGAGGGGGAGAGAGAGAGAGAGAGAGAGAGCGAAAGAGGAGGGAACTGAGAGAGCGGTTTGTACGTGTTCTACGTTATTCCTGTAGTTTTTTTCCCCTTGACAAGCGTTGAGACATTTCAAATAATATTATTAATAATAATAATAATAATCCTTGCATTTGATACAGAGCCTTATTCGAAAAAGCGCTTCCCAGAATATAATGTAGAAATTAAATTGACTGCCTATTTTGGGAGCGAGAGGCAAAATGTTTACAGCAGTCTGCCCTCGCCGTGTGGTGTGTTTACTTGGTGAAGAACTCTCTAAATTAAACTGGGTTTAAAACCAAATGAAATGCCGAGGTGAGGGCAAGTTAGCCCCAAAACACTGTGTTTATAATTCAAGGTGAGGACATGAGAAATTGTAATAAAGCTCTACAGTACCGGGGACCGACAGTTTTGTGATAACATATTAATATTAATAATAATAATATTCCTTGCACTTAAAGGGTAATAATCCCTTCAAAAATTATCCCCCCCCNAAAAAATTATTTGGACACACACTCCACGCTGGGACACTGCTGTGTACAATTGCCAACCACTTTTCGTCCACAAAATAAAAAGTCAATTCACTTCATAGCATATTCCGTGAAGCGCTTTGACATGATAAGGAGCCAAATCAAATGCGAGTCGTATTATTGTTGTTGTTATTATTATGATAATAATTATTTGATTCAGCGCCTCGTACCTCAGTCGGGGTGTGGATTCGTTTACGAACGAGATTTTATTTCATCCGTTCAGTTGAATGCAATCCTGGTGTGCAGCCTCAAGAAGGTTACACGTTTTAAATAAGAATCGACTCTTATCGTGATATGTTCCAACATTACATTACACTGGTTGGTTGTGCAGTCACTACACTGCCCCCCCCTCCCCCCCCCCCTCCCCACCACCTCTCCCGTCCCTGTTGCCGGCCACTGCCAACAACCTGAGCTTAGCCCGGTCAGTGGGCTGTTCAATCATAAAGTTTATGGCCAGAGTCAAAAGCCATTAAGAAGCACTTATCATCACATCCCAACAGCAACTCTGGCTGCATCCCAGCCCCCGCCACCCCAACCCTTACCCTCGGCCCCAACATCCCCCCTCCCCCCCCCCCCCCCTATATCCCCAGCCATCGTGAAATGGGGAGAGTGCATTACAAACCAGACTCCTTATACCCAGACGCTTTAATAATGTGCGTGTGTGTGTTTTTTTTTTTTGCCTTTTCATTACTTTTTTTTTCCCCCCTCGACGTATTTGTTCCTGTAATCTAAAAAGAAAATATACGGGAATTAGCCACAGTGAGGAGAGCCGCCGCCGGGGGAGTGTTCATGTTCAAGGCTGTGGGTGGGTGTGGGGGGGGGGGAAACTACACGGGATTCTTGTTTATTATTGTTGAAACGCTTCTGATTTTTAAGAATATATTTTGAACGCCTGCCCTCGTTTGAAGAAGAGCTGAAACGTCGGGGGCATTTTTTTGCAAAAGGGAATGAATAATACAGCGCACGTTGAGAGGTAGTTCAGAGAGACGTTCACAAGACCTCATCCTCCTGATATTGTGTCATGTGTTGGAAGTATAATAACCCGCTCACCGATAACTTCGAGTTCACCTAAAACAACCTCCTTAAAATAGCGTTAGACATGGCCTCTAACCTCGCTGGCAGGTGAGGTTCAATATTTCAGGAGCAGGAAGGGGAATCAAACGGCAGTCCAGTGGACAATGATGAATTTTCCTGTGTGTTTGGGGGTGGGTGGGGGTGGGTGCCGGGGGTGGGGGGAATGCCTGTGTTGTTACACTCGATGCTGGGGCTGTGAACATGGGCACAGGGCGCTTCTCAATGCACAGCCTCTGGTTTCAGCTCTCAGTATCCCAGGGAGGACGCACATAAATAACACTGTACACGTGAACCCACTTGCATTCGATGCATATTAAAGTGGTAAATGTACATTCATACGCACATGTATTATATAGAAAAGTGTAATGCACAGTCGATTCACTTTAAAAGTGTCGTCTATGAAGGGCTTTGAGACGTTCTCGAAGACACAATAAGGTGCTATACCAACTACAAGGATTGTTATTATTATGTATTATGCTATTATAACAATTACACGTACAAATACATATTAAAGATGTACGTATAAATATACATATATATATGTAATAAATACATATCAGAGCTGCTTTTTTAGCTGGAATAAATTAACCGGTTCTGGTTTCAATTTATAAATTCTGCAAATAACACTGACAACCAGTCTGGATAATTCTGGTCCGAGTTACCCACTTCAGGCTCAATGTTATCAGCTCAAGTATAAGAGGAATTGTTCTGTCGTCACAATCCTCAGGGAAACCGCGTTAAAAAAAAATAATTTTTAATATTTTTTACAGATAACTCAACTTAAAATCGACCACAATCCATTTGCAAAAGGATTTCGGGACACCGGCAATGGGAGGCGTGAGAAAAGGTAAAAGTCCCAATAAAGGGTGGTTGTTAATTCTGCAGAATCTTATTAATATTTTATACACAGAGACACACACACACAAGACACAGAGACACACACACACACACACACACGACACAGAGACACACACACGACACAGATACACACACACGACACAGATACACACACACACACGACACAGAGACACACACACACACACAAGACACAGAGACACACACACACACACGACACAGAGACACACACACACACACACACAAGACACAGAGACACACACACACACACACAAGACACAGAGACACACACAAGACACAGAGACACACACACACACAAGACACAGAGACACACACACACACAAGACACAGAGACACACACACACACACACACAAGACACAGAGACACACACACACAAGGCACAGACACACACACACACACACAGGTACACACTCACACAGACACAGATGCAGAGATACACACACAGACTGCTGAGTGGGGGGGTGGGTGTCGGTTTGGGGGGTGGGGGGGGGGGGGGGGGGTGGGCAGGAAGGGTGAGAGAGGCCGATCTGAGGCTTGGCCGAGGATCATGGATCAAGGTGAGCAACTCAGGGCCTCCGGCGCCTCCTGGTGGCGACTTACACAACTGCCACGAGAGACCGGGCGCCCGTCGCCCACCTCTGGGGGGAAAAGCCCAACGTTAAAATGGAGTTGATGGACTCTCACACCAATCCGCTGCACCTTTACAGCGAGAACTTAAATAAATAATGGGAGAAACTGCAGTTACACGAGTGTTTTTACCTGTTATCCGCGTGAAGCTCTTTGGAAAAATGATTGCAGGCGCTTTTGACAGCAGCTTTTGTTATCATTATTTTGTTTTCTTTCCCCCCCCCCACCCCCCACCCCCAACCCCCACCCCCAACCCCCAACCCCCAACCACACCCCCAACCCTGAATTGTAATGTCTTTAACGTGACACCGTGCAATACATCCTAAATACCACCTCAATGCTTCCTCCCCCCCCCCCCCACCCCCCCACCAGGAAACAGCTGTCGTTGCCCTCCATGCGGGTGTATGATGACCAGTGTAAAGATCGAGACGGTGGCGATTCTGACGACTCGTCCAGTGACCCTCCGCTGGTCAGGGAATCACTCCACTCGCCTCTGGCCGCAGACCCTGTTTCTCTACACTTGATCCAAGCTTCCAAAGGTAGGAGCTCGATCCACTACACAGATCAAGGCCCTGGGGGTTGTTGACCTGACCGCCTGGCATCCTCCCCCCCATCCCCTTCCCCTCCACCCCCCACCCCAGCCTTAACCACGGGGCTGTTTGTTGGCTTAACCTTTAAAGCCTTCGTATCAGTGTTTGCTTCAGTAAACTCTTCATAAACCGACCCGGCACAAGCCAGTAACAAACAGACACACACAGAGAGAGAGAGGGAGAGAGAGAAATAGAAAGAGAGAAAAGAGAGATAGAGAGAGAGAGAGAGGCGATGTTTAAAGGGGAAAAACTTACCTTAATTTAACCACGACGTCGCCACAAATAAAACCGCAGCGCTATTTCACAACACGTCACACGTTATTTAGTCACTCGGCGATGGGTGGTTTAAAGGGGAAGAAAATCGCCCCATATTGTATGTGACAGTATTGGAGATAGATTTCTCCCCTCTCGAATCTCGAGAACTCTTGTGTAAAATAAGGTTTTGACCCCAACCCAACCCAATATTGCTCAATGATCGGGTGAGACTCTTGAGTGTGAAGTTGAGCTTCGGGTTCATTCAAGTAATAAACGGAGAGAATGGGGTGGGGGGGGGGGGACAGGGCGCTTTCTGCAAGAGATTTTCTTTTTATCTCAACGCCTGCTCCACAGAAAACAAGTCAGGACAGAGTGAGGAATGGTGGCTGTGAGCAATGGGAATATACAGGTTCAACCAAGCAGTCCCCATGCCATTGCAACGTCCAATAAGCCTTCAAGAAATGACTATATATATATATTTAGAGATATTAGGGTAGATACCTCGATTTTTGGTCAACACTGTAGTGACAATGTGAAGCGACTTGGGGGTCTGCGTGTGCGTAAGGCTTCGTATTTATATCCTAACACAGATTTCGGTTTGGTTTGGGGAGTTGGACGCACACAAGTGCTGTACCTGGGCTGGTGGCTACACCGAAACCGGAATATTTCAAGCAAAACAATACAAGCAGATCTAATCACCTGCAATACAATGTGTGGAACCTCTCCCTTCCTCTGTTCCCAGTTGCTATATTTGAAGCAAACAATAATATCACAATGTTTGCACAGCCTCTCTCTCTCTCTGTGTCTCCCCACACACTGATGCTGTCTGGCCCTACTCACCTCACCTACTATTTTACTGAGCTATGTATGGATTGGGGGGAGGACGAGGTTCATGTGTATTTATTGTGCATATATATATATATATATATATATATAAAAACAATCTGCAGACATCAAACTCCCCGAGACAGGGCGAGCAGTAAAGTGTCGTCAGCCAGGGGTTGGAGCACTGTAAATCCCTCCACAATAAACCTCACCTCCAAAGACCTTTTGGCGTTATACATAATTCAAAACGCCTCGAGCCAAAAAGAGCACTCACTGTACATCTTTTGTGAACGACATTTTTTTAAAAAAAATAGTTCATTGAAATAAAGGAAGTTAAAATTGCAATGGTGGGGGGGGGGGGGGCGCATCGAAATGCTTTGAGACGTCTCTAAGACGTGATGAGGCTTTATATCAAATGCAAGGATTATTATTATTATTATTATTATTATTGCCACCCTAAGGTGTGAGGACACAGGATCTGGGGAGAAAGAGAGAGAGAGCAAAACAGCCCATCTCCCTCAGCCCCCAAATCAAAACGATTGACTGTTTATCCTACATTAACATTATTATATATTATTCCAATATTGTGCATATCATATATTTATTATTATTATTATTATCATTGTTATTATGATTCCTGTAACGAGCAGAGGAGAAACTTTTGCACTCGGATGTCAAGTCCAGCATTTATTTAAAAAAAATGTTATCCCAACGTTTGATGTAAATATGACAGTAATGTTTATTGCTTGTGGGAGTGGTGGAGATGGGGGATGAGGTTGGGGAGGATTGGGGGGGGTGGAGATGGGGGTGAGGTTGGGGTGGGGATGGGGGGTCAATTAAGTGAGGCTGTAAGGTCAGACGCGCGTTGTGTGTGTGTGTGTGTGTGTGCGTGTGTTTGTCTGTCAAGTCAGTAAAAAGCTGATGATATTTTTATTTTCCAACCTTTTTTTTTATATAAAAAAAAATCCCTGGTTTAGATGATAAATCGGCGGCCAACAGCGACCAGGAGCTGGAGAGGCGTGAGGAGCGCTCCGCGGCCGGCAGCCCGGGTACCCAAGGCTCGGGGGCCGAGTCCCCGCCGGCGGTCAAGGAGAGGGACAGAGAGGGTGGCTCCGGCCACCCCGCGCAACGCTGCCACAAGGATGGAGCTCCGGCCAAGAGGAAGGGCTGTGTGGAGAGCGACACCTGTTACAGCGGCAGGAGCTCGGACAGGGAGGAGGGCGGCGGCGGTGGTGGGGGCGGCGGCGGCGGCGGTGGGGGCAGGAGGAGGAAAGAGGAAAGCAGTAAAGATGCCGAGTCCGCTTACTCGCCGCTGATGATCCAGACCGAGAGCCCGTCGCACATGGCCGGGTACCTGCAGAGCCTGGCGCACTCGGGTCTGCAGAGCCAGCAGTTCTTTAACCCTTTGAACGTGGGGCAGCCGCTGTTTATCCACCCGGGGCAGTTCGCCGTGGCCCCCGGCGCCTTCTCAGCCATGGCCACCGGGATGGGACACTTACTGGCCTCGGTGTCCGGAGCCGGCAGCTTGGATCCCGGCCTCTCCTCGGTGCCGGTGCCCGGGGCCAGCGCCCCGCATTTCCCCTTCCACCTCTCCCAGCACGTCCTGGCCTCGCAGGTAAGACTCTTTGTCTGATTTGTACCCCGGGCCTCACCTTAAGCCCTTTAACCCACCCCTCCCCATCCCCCCCACCCCACCCCTCACCCCCTGCCCGCACTCCCCATCCCTCCCCACTTTTTCTCAAGAGTTTTGGTGCAATGGTACCAGATGTTGCTCTTCGGCGCTGGAAGCTACAATGTCCAGTGGATTATTCAGTGTGCAATCTTCTCTCTCTCTCTTTATTACAGTGTCTGTCCTCTCTGTGTGTCTAAGTGTCTTCAGTGGCTATTCAATGTATACTCCAGTCTCTCTCTCTCTCTATTAAAAGTGTCTGTCCTCTCTGTCTCTAATTGTCTTCAGTAACCAGTCAGTGTATACTCTGGTCTCTCTGCTGTCTCTGTGTCTCAGTAAACCAGTGGATTATTCACTCTACACGTTAGCATCCCTCTCTCTCTCTCTCTCTCTCTACCACACAGTGTCTCTCTCTGTCTGTAACGGGTTGACTTGACAGCTCGATCCCAACCCCCTGATTTATATTTTATTTAAATCACGGGGTTTGCCTGGGTTTTATCAGTCTGCTTTCTTGCTCGGCTTCACTCCGATTCTTTTTGGTCGCGAAAGAAACGACTGGTTAAAAAAAAAAGTTCAGAGAGTGGAGTGGAGTGTGGTCAATGAGAGTTCGGAGTTAACGTTGCATTGTGTGGGGGAAAAAAACCACGCCAGAGATTCATCTACTCGGCGATTTCTGCTCTGCCTTGAGATATAAAAGCCCTTTATCTGGGATTGCAAGGTCAGGAATGAGTTAAGGCGGCCCTGGTAGATTGGGAATTAATTCCAGGAATTGGGGATTATTGCTGGGTTCGATGTGTGTGTGTGTGTGTGTGTGTGTGTGTTATTTAGTCAGCGCCCCACTCCTACCTCGAGAGTAACACTCAACACAACTTCATTCAGACTCCCCAGTCCCGATCTAACCCACTCCTGACACACCTTGAGCCATTTGGGATGTGAGGGGCCCCCTTTGCTCTACCTGATCCCGGGACAGTTTCACTCACACCAATCCTTGCTCCACAATAATATCCAGTAATCTCTCTCTCTCTCTCTCTCTCTCTCTCCTCCTTCACTGAGGCTAAAGCTGGGTTTGTGGGAGGCCACAGATTTATTTCATTTACTGGGTTTTTCAAATTGATTTCACCCATGAGGGATGGCTGTGTGTGTGTGTGTGGGGGGGGTGGGGGGGTGATAGTGGTAGATATTTTCGAGGGAAGGGGAATTGGGGCAATTCATGGTTTGGGACAAATGTTTTTATTTTTATTTGTTAACAAAATAAACCTCAGTCCATTCGTGTCCCTGCAAGGCGAGGCTTGTCGGAATGTGTATGTGTGTGCAGTTAGGTGTGCTGGTGTGTGGGTGTGCAGTAATCCCTGTTGGTATGTGTGTGTGTGCGCAATAATGTGTTGGGGTGTGTGTGTGTGCAGTAATGTGTGTTGGTGTGTGTCTGTGTGCAGTAATGTGTGTTGGTGTTTGTCGGTGTGCAGTAATCTGTATGTGTGTGCGTGTAGTAATGTGTGTTGGTGTGTTTCTATGTGCAGTAACGTGTGTTAGTGTGTGTATGTGTGCAGTAATGAGTATTGGTGTTTGTGCAGTAATGTGTGTTGGTGTATGTGCGCGCAATAATGTGTGTTGGTGTGTATCTGGTGCAGTAATGTGTGTGTGTGTGTGTGTGTGCAGTAATGTGTGTCAGTCTGTGTGTGTGCAGTACTTCTGTTGGGAGTGTGTGTGTGTGTGTGCCTCTCCTGATGCCCACTCTAATGAAACATTTTAATGTCCAAATCCTTCCCTCATTGGGTGGAATGCAACACTGGGATGGGATGGCTTTAGGTAGTTAGCTAATTAGTTAGTGAGGGACACCTACCAGCTCCAGCCTCCGAAAATCCACAAGTACTGTGAGCTTATTCTCCCCCATAAAATAGCCCACTTGTTACAGTGTGCTGTGTTACCCACGCTCTCACATACCCACTAGTTACAGTGTTACCCACTCTCACATACCCCCAAGTTACAGTGTTACCCACTCTCACATACCCACTAGTTACAGTGTTACCCACTCTCACATACCCACTAGTTACAGTGTTACCCACTCTCACATACCCACTAGTTACAGTGTTACCCACTCTCTCACATACCCACTCGTTACAGTGTTACCCACTCTCTCACATACCCACCAGTTACAGTGTTACCCACTCTCTCACATACCCACCAGTTACAGTGTTACCCACTCTCTCACATACCCACTCGTTACAGTGTTACCCACTCTCTCACATACCCACCAGTTACAGTGTTACCCACTCTCTCACATACCCCCTAGTTACAGTGTTACCCACTCTATCACATACCCACCAGTTGAAGTGTTACCCACTCTCACATACAGTTTATCAATAAAAGGCTCTCGCTGTAAGAGGGGGGAAAAAAACAAGCTGGAGCAAATGCGGACACTTTGCAAACACTCTACAGCTGAATTTGGATGAAAAGCATAAGCTTGCTGATGGGAGATTTCCAGTTCACTCTCCCATCCAATCCCACTGGAAAGGATTCCTGATCCCACAATCAGCTTTGAGTGTCACAATAATTCAGGGCTTTTATTGTGTGTGAACATACACCAAATGCGCATGCACTGAGCAGGGCTGAGTGACTGGACCGTCCACCATTGTGTGACCTCCCGCTCTGGGCGACAGGAAGTTTATAATAATATAAATCATCCTTGCACTCGACGCAGCGCCTTATCACGTCTTCGAGACGTCTCAAAGCGCTTCACAGAATACTTGTAAAGTGAATTGGCTTGTATATTTTGTGGGTGAAAGATAACAGGATTATCTCTTTACTCTTTATTAGGTCTGCTTGTTCATCAAATTGTCATCGCTTTTTATTCTTGCTTATTTTCTTGCTCGTCTCTCTTTGATTTCCCCTTTGCTGCCGTGGGGGCCCTCCCAAGCCAGTGAAGCGCATTGTAAATGCAGGTTGTTCTGCTTGTGGTTGCGCTGTTGAAAGTGGTTGTTGGCCATGACTGTGGCCGCTGTGAGCCGCACAGACCCTGAGACCATGGGGGTGGGGGTTGCTCTCTGCTGCCTTCAGTCCAATGTGTGCTGGTCTCAGGCCAGCAGACCCTAGTTTTAATGTAATAATAATAATAATAATAATTTGCTCACCCAATCCACGACTGTTTGTGGGGACTGTGTACAATCGGCTTCCGCATTTCACCCACAAAATGCACAGTTGATCCACTTTACAGTATACCCTGTGAAGTGCTTTGAGTGAGACGTCTCGATGATGTGATAAGGCGCGGTGTCAAATCCAAGGAATATTGTTACCGCCAACACCGCTCGGGTGGGAGGGATGCCCACACTGATCACTGTGTCTGTTTCTCCCACAGGGAATCCCAATGACCACTTTCGGAGGGCTGTTCCCGTACCCATACACCTACATGGCTGCTGCTGCAGCCGCTGCTCTGCCCAGTGCAGCCGGGGCCACTTCCTCTCTGCACCGACACCCCTTCCTGAGCGGGGGCCGACCTCGCCTCCGCTTCAACCCCTACTCCATCCCCGTGTCCATCCCGGCCAGCACCAACCTGCTGACCACCGCCATGCCCTCGGCTCTGGGCGGCTCCGACAGCAAACTGTGCAGCCGCGGCTCCAGCCCGGGCTCCGAACTCAACCACAAGAGCGAGGGCAGCGGGGTAAGGACTGGGGCCGGGGGCACGATCAGCCCGCTCTCCCCCAAGCCCGCCGCCAAGGAGGCCATGAACGAACTGCAGAACATACAGCGGCTCGTCAGTGGGCTGCACAGCCAGCGGGAAGCCTCGCCAGGTCCACCCTCTCCCAAGTGACCCTCTTCCCATCGGGCCAGGAGGACATTCAGCTACGAGGCACCACCAGCCAGTGCGGCCAGGTGCAAACCGGGTGGGGGGGGGCTGTACACATCATTCCCTCCACCCACCCACACCCCCCCCTCCCACCCGCCCCCCCCCCCCCCCCCCACTGCTGCTCTCCCTGCCCAGAGGAACGATGGAGCAGGAAAAGCGGAAGAGAAGTGTTTCTTTTTAACCGTGGTACAATTTGGGGGTGAAGACAGAATGAGAAAGATCTTTGCTATTTATGTAATTAATTAGTAATTTCGTGTAAATATGCTATGGATCGCAGGATATGCAAATCGGTATTAATTTATTCACCAGTTGTAAATTGGCGTGTATATATATATTAGAGTTTAATTCGCTGCATTAATGTTTTCTTTGGTTTTACACACAAACACCACAATATATTGTAAATGAAATATATAACGCTTTGAGAGAGAGAGAGTGAAGAGTGCGTGAATGGATTTCTAATTGTGTTTTCTTATAGAGGTTTATCCCACCTGCTTTAGTCCAGACAATTTAAAACGTGCCATCCATCACATAAAATGCTATTTCAGTGTTACTTATTCAAACAACGCGTTAAGTACTGTACAATACGGCAGATCTAAACACATTTCTGTGCCCTACGCTGGGTGGGAGTGGGGCGGTGGGGGGGGGGGGGGGTGCAGTGTGCCCTAATTTGGGGGGGGGCAATGCTCTATGCCCTGTGCTAGGGAGGCAGTGCCCTGTGCGGGGAGACTGTGCTCTATATGCCCTGGGCTGGAGGATGGCAGTGTGCCCTGGGGTGGGAGGTGGGTGGGCAGCAGTGTGCCCCATGCAAGGAGACTGTGCTGTATTCCCTGTACTGGTGGGAAGTGCTCTGTGCTGTAAGATTGTGCCCTTTGCCCTGTGCCCTGTGCAGGGGGTGGTGGGGCGTGGGGGGGTCAGTGTGCCTGTGCCCTGTGCTAGGGGACAGTGCTCTGTGTGGGGAGACAGTGCTCATACCCTTTGCTGTATGCCCTGTGTGGGGGGTAGTGTTCTGTGCAGGGGGGCAGTTCCGGTTGGGTGTGCCAAGTGGCTGATTTTTTTTTACAAAGTGTATCTCAGACTGTGTTGGTTATTCGGGTATCTATCGGCAATTTTGAAATTTTATGAGTTCTCTCACAACTTTCAATAAACATTTTTGAAGTGAAACGTGTGTGTAATATTATTCCTTCTTTACGTGTTCTCTCCTCACAAAATGGCCCCCTTGTCGTGCAGGGCTCTTACATGCTTGGCAAAGCTGTGATTGGGGGGCTGGGTCCCTGGGAGACAGGAGCCATGGCCAGACAGGATGCCTCTCGCAACCGTTCAGTCACAGCTAATATTTCGGAGCAATTTCTTGCCAACGAGATTACGTAAGTTCGATTTCCGGGCAGGTTGGACAAGTTTCCTTACTCCACACGCCTCCACAATACCTAGCAGTAAGTAGGAACCTGGTTGTCAGTCAATATATAGTCAATTCACTTTACAGTATATTCTGTGAAGCGCTTTGGGACGTCCTCCCGACGTGAAAAGCACTATATCAAATTGCAAGGATTATTATCATTATAATTGGCAGATCACTTTTTCAGGGGTTAATAATCCTCTAAAAAAATAATAATCATAATGATTTGGCCTCACTCAATCCATGACTGTTTATGAGATATTGCTGTGTGCATTGGCTGCCACGTTTTGCCCACAAAATATACAGTCAATTCACTTTAGAGTGTATTCTGTGAAGAGCTTTGAGACGTCTCGAAGATATAAGGCGCTGTATCAAATGCAAGGATTGTTATTATTTCTGTCTGGGTTTGTTTGAGGTCGAATCCGCCTCAGGTGGGCGTAGATTAAACTCACAAATAGGCAGTTGTATGTCCAGCCCGACTCAGACCTTGGTATTCCTGCTTTTAGTTTAGATTATGAATGAATGGTTGCACCCCCCCCCCCCCCCCACCCACCCCACCTCTATGCTGAACCATGGCTGATAATGTTTTACACCGGCCTCCACACTGGCCTGTAAGTCACAGCTTAAAAACGAAGAACGTTGCTATTTCTACCATTAAAACGAGCTCACTAAACACGTCGATTCACGGACTCTGCGACTATTAAACTGGAAGATTTCCAACAGTAAAACATTTTATTCGTGTCTTCTTACAGCAGATTAATAGGTCTCTGCTAACAGCAGGACATCTCTGGTCAGCAATGAGAACAGAAAGCTGAAGCCATGTGTGTGTAAGTTGTTCTCCATGATATGTTAAAGGAACCTCAGCATTTACTGCATATAAAATTCATGGTTCAACTGCATGACTGTGTGTGTGGTGTGGGGGGGGAGATTTCTGTGGGAAATTGTCTGCTGCTTTCACCTACAAAAATACACACATCACCACATTTGTCAATAAGAGCTTGTGAAGCGGGTTTTGAGAACCCGGGATGTAAGATATCGTATCAAACGCCAGGATTATTTCGCCCAGAAAAAAATATACAGCCAATTCACCTTACAGTTTATCCTGTGAAGCGCTTTTGAGACATCTCGAAAATGTGATAAGGAGCTATATCAAATGCAAGGATTATTATTGTTATTATATTAATGGGGAGGAGGGAAATGACAGCCAAGGGAGGAAAATGGCAATAAGCAAATGTAGTTCTGCATTTCGCAAACTCTTTTTAATATTAATACCTTCGTGGCTTTTTAGGAGGAAGAAATTCTGAGCAAATTTCGAATACTATGAGCCCACATTTAATGCCCAAAGCGACGAGTGTGAATGTAAAAGGGTCAAATACTGGGGCTTTTTCAGACGTAAAACATTTAATATTAAAGTCATTGGGAAAGCCTGAAGTCGTGGGGAGGGGGTGGGGGGGTGGGGGTGGGGGTGGGAGTATCACTCAGTTTAAAAGAGGAAAGATGTTTGTGTTTCTATGTGTTTGCTCACTGATTGGGGAAATATGGGGTGAAGGATTAACAACCTTAATATCAGGCCCTTACCTCCCAACTGAACACCGTCCCATTTATAAGTGGGACTGAGCCCGAGACACACACACACACACACACACACCAGGAAAATCAGGAAATAGCCAGGAAAATCGTTGGTAAAAAAGGAACATTCTGTGCTTAGCAGATTCTCCAATCACCCGACACACACGATCTTCCCGCGGTGTCACGTCCTAATTCGTTAATAAAAACGGTTTGCGATGCTCATGTACTGTATATTGACATCCCAGCACTGGTAGAGACACAGACACGATCATTCAAATGAGTCAAAAGACCCCATTTCCTCTGCAAATTCCAAAGGCGTCTTTTTTCCACGTCCCCAAAGCAGAATCTCAGGCACATCGCAGCCGACAGCTAAGCTCAACCTCATCAGTCTTTGCATTTCCATTTGTGGTCTCTCTCTCTCTCTCTCTCTCTCTCGCAGCCGATGGAACAACAAATGGAAATTGATGGTTCTCTGTCAGCAACAGAGTCATTTCACCCTCGTCCCCACGAGTCACTTGTCCCAAGAATATCCTAAACTCTGTCCACCAGTCGTCTGTACGTTTCAGATGGCGTTTTTCTCGTTTTTTATTCCCTTCTGGTGGTGGTAGATATTTCTTTTTAATTTCTTTTTTTTTTTGCCAAACTGCAAAGCAAGTTCATTTGAAAAGTGATATTGTGTCTGTAACCCTCTCTCTCTCTCTCTCTCTCTTTGCCCCCAGTAGAACAGTAAAGGTAAAGTTACTAACTGCTATACTCCAGCCAAAAACTCTTAAAAATGAAACATCACTTTGATGTCTGGGTTGATGGGAGGTCGAGCCTTAAGTGCTTTAAATACAACTTGGCGGATTTAAGTTCAGGTCATTAATGTATGAAATAAACAGTCTTTTCCTCGCCAATTACCGATTCCTCCACTCCGGTAAGATTTATTGGGCTCTTGTGCTGTCTGAAAGGCTGATGGGTTTATTCCCAATCCCAATGGATATTCCGCGCAGCTCGGGCGCCACCTGCCGGAATTTAGGACACACGGCAACCCCACCCCCCCACCCCACCCCACACACACCCCCCCCCACCCCACCCCACACACACACCCCCCCACCCCACCCCACACACACACACACCCCACCCCACACACACACACCCCCCCCCACCCCACACACCCCCCCCCACCCCACCCCACACACACACCCCCACCCCACTCCACACACAACTCCCCCCCACCCCACACACACACACACCACACACACACACACACACCCCACCCCACTCCACACCCCCCCCACCCCCCACACACCCCCACCCTACACCCCCCCCACCCCACCCCACACACACACCCCCCCACCCCACACACACCCCCCACCCCACCCCACACACACACCCCCCCCACCCCACACACCCCCCCCACCCCACCCCACACACACACCCCCCACCCCACACACACACCCCCCCACCCCCCACACACCCCCACTACCCCCCCACCCCACACACTCCCCCCCCCCACCCCACACACACTTTACAGTGTGTTCTGTGAAGCGCTTTGGGACGTCCTCCCGACGTGAAAAGCGCTATATCAAATGCAAGGATTATTATTATTATTATTATTATTATTAAAAGAGATACGAGTCCCGTTCAGAACACCGTTCGAATCCGAAACGTTGAACACTGGGGAACCTCAACGCATAGTTTTGGGATGGTTTGCAATTGGGAGAGAACTACCTGGGTCGTGTTTTGATGGGTGATTCTGCAACAAATCATCAACATATCATTTCGCAAAATGAATAGGGCATCTCTTCGACGCATTGAACTCAATTGCAGTCATCCAGTTTGCACAGTTATATCAATGCATTTGGCAACAATCGTTCACCGGGGGTATCACTCACTATAAAATATTGTGTTCACTGCAATGTGAACCCATCTCTCAATCCTGACCGCTTGTGAGGCAGTCAGTGGGTATTGTTGTTCTGGGTGAAGCCACACCCAGCTCCTGTGGGAGAGCCAGGGTTCTGTTTACACTTCACTGTGTAGGACAGCCAACACACTTAAAATTACTCCTCTGTCCTTCGTAGTGTACACTCTCCCCCCTGTCTCTCTCCCTCTCTTTCTCTCCCCACCTCTGCC